CGCTGTGAGTCGCCTTCGGGCTGAGAACAGCGGTATATAAGTAAGGTAAATAAATAAATAAATAAATAATATAGTATAATATACAGTATAATATAATATAATATACAGTATAATATAATATATTGTATATACATATAATATTTATAATATTATAATGTGATACAATACTTATAATACTAATAATATGCTATTTATAATTATATATTGTATATTACATGTAATGTTACTAATAATATTACAATATAATGGTATAGTACAATATAGTAATGTATATACTGATATTGTACTATGCTAATAATTTAATATATTGTATGTATATATATCTTGTAAGCCGCTCTGAGTCCCCTTCAGGGTGAGAAGTGCATATAAATGTCCTAAATAAATAATAAATAATAAAAGGGCACTCAAGCCTCTCCCTCCCTACCATTCCTGACTTGATGGCATAGGACAGGCCCGTAGCCAGGATTTTGATTGGGGGGGGGGCTGAGTTTGATTTGGGGAGGGGGGCTGAGTCTGAGTGAAAGAGGGTCTACCCTAGCAAACCTTTTGTATCGTTACCCCAATACCCCCATGCATATGGGATATATTGAGCATGGTGATCAGATCATGATATGAATAAACATAACAGTTTAAATAATATACCAGTAAGGCCTTCTTGCGGACCACCATGAGAATTTCGGGGGGGGGGCTGCAAGCCCCCCCCCCCCCCGAAATTATCATGGTGGTCCACGAGAAGGCCTTACTGGTGCATTATTTAAACTGTTATGTTTATTCATATCATGCTCTGATCACCATTGCGACTCCCCCCCCCCCCCCCCCCCCCCCCAACAGTCCCACTTCTAAGAAATCATTGCAGCTCAGAGCCTGGTTTGAGGAGTGAGTTGCGTGTGCCCTCTCCACTTCCTTTGCCTGCTTTATTCGCCCCCTCCCCCCCCCCCCACATTCATTTCTAGTGGAGACCCCTCCAACCCACCCGCACCCCCTTTCTGTCCAAAGGGTACAAGGTCTCTCTTCCAAGAACCAGGCCTGCCTTTTCAAGGTATGGATTGGCCATCTGTTATCAATGTATGGATTTTCAACACTGGATGGCCATCTGTTGGGGTAGTTTGATAGCGATTTTCCTGCTTCTTGGCAGGGAGTTGGACTGGATGGCCCACGAGGTCTCTACCAAGTCTATCATTCTATGGTTTATTATTTTATTTACTACTAGCTGTAATAATTCATCATCATCATCTTTATTTATACCCTGCCACCATCTCCCCAGTAGTGCAATTGGGGGACGGGGGGGGGGGGGGAGCAGAGCAGCCAGAGGGTGCCCCTCCCCCTCTCCCTCTCTCTCTCTTGCCCCCTTCTACTCCGCTATACCCACCATGTGTTGCTGTGGCCAACATTCCCTCCCTTTTTCTCTCCTTCCTTCGTTCCTTCCTTCCTTCCCTCCCTCTTTTCTTTCCTTCTCTCCTTCCTTCCTTCTTTCTTCCTTCCTTCCCTTTTCTTTCCTTCTCTCCTTCCTTCCCTTTTTCTCTTCCTCCCTCTTTTCTTTCCTTCTCTCCTTCTTTCCTTCCTTCTTTCCTTCCTTCTCTTCCTCTTTTCTTCCCTCCCCTCTTTTTCTTTTCCTTTGTTCCTTCTCTACCTATTCTTGGACTGTAACTCCCAGCAATCTTCCTGATTGATTGATTTATCTAACTACCAACTATCTATCTAATCTATCTATCTTATCTATCTGGAGGATTGCTTGAAGTTGCAGTTCAGAAATAGGAAATATGTACGGATTGGGATGGTCTCAATGAAATCCAAGGAGAAGAAAGCTTGCAGCTTGGAAGCAGTGCATTTGGAGCATCCTCATTTTCTTAAAGGATCTGGTCTAAGAGATGCTGGGAGATGCCATTTCTGCACATGCGCTGTACCATCATTTATTAGGGGTTTTCAGTCCTTCCTGCTATATTTTGAGAGGGGTTTTTGAGTGATGGTCACTCGTTGGTCTGTTAGGGGTATAGTGTCCAAATTTTGCGTCAATTTGTCCAGTGGTTTTGGAGTTATAAACGAACATTATATTTTTATTTATATAGATATGTATATCCCACCCTTCTCGACTCCAAAGGGAAATCAAGGCGGCTTACAGCAGAGGCCAAATTCAATGCCTTAAAAATTCAACAATTAAATAACATTTAGTTAAAAATATAAACGAGGTTAAAAGCAATTAAAACATAAACAATACCACTTACAGCAACAAAATCGCGTATTTCTCTATTTTGTATCAAAAGCATTGCATAAATTAGTATAAAACTGATAAAAACAGAAGGAGCACAAGCAGCTGAATATTTTTTTGACCAAAAACAGGCAACAGCGACCACATTGTCTGTAGCCTCTTGCAACTGAGAGCCCCTTTGAGGAGTGGGTTGCCTGTTCCCTCTCCCCTTCCTCTGGCTACTTTGGAATGGGAGGGGGTGTCTGCGTGAGGGGGTCCTGAGGCAAAGGAGGATTTCCAGAATGGAGCCCAGGAAAAGGGGGAGTGGGAAAATCAAAGGGCATGGGGACCCCTCCCTGCAGCAACTCTCCCTCCTCAGAGGCAACTCTCACTCCTCTGAGTAGACCGGGCCTGGGCCAACTGGGGCCTTCCCTCCAGGTGTTTTGGACTTCAACTCCCATCATTCCTAACAGCGTCAGGCCCCTTCCTTTTCCCCCCTCAGCCGCTTAAGGAGAGAAAGGGGGGGGAAGGGTAGGCTGAGGAATGATGGGACTTGAAGTTAAAAACTCCTGGAGGGAAGGCCCCAGTTGGCCCATGCCTGGTCTACTCAGAGAAGGGAGAGGCTTTGGCTTTTCACTTGTCCCCGACCATTGCCCCTCCTTGCCCCCCCCCAACTCCTCCATAGGGCAAAGGGGGTCCTGCCCTTCCTTCCAGTCCCAATGCACATTTCCTTTCCAGCCCAAGAAGTGCTCCCTACTTTGGCGGCACTTGCTACATGGGTCAAAAGCACAATCTCTGGAAAGGAGGAGAAAGAATACAAAGGGGAACTCCCCCCCCCCCCCCATCTGCCTGCTTTTCTTTCTCTCTGCTGTGAGCTGGTGAGGAAGAGTGGGGCACTGTCACCACCAGGCAGCCACCAAAACAGGAGCCAGAACAGGCCCTGCCTTTGTCCTTTGTCCCTTCTCCATCCGTCCAGCTGGCATTATTGTGAGGGGGGGGAGGGGGCAAGCCTTGGATACCAGGGCTGCCCCTTCCCCCCTGCTTGCAGCCTCAGGGGCCCACCGTTTTCCCACTCTAAAGCCCAGCAACCTCATCCCATGGAGGCAGAGTAGGACTCCTGCTGCATGCATGCACTTTGGGAAACATTGCAGGCGCCTGGAAGGGTGTGAGCCAGCCCTTCAAAGCATGCAATATTCGGCCTGAATGTGCTGCTCTTGGCCTTCAGCTGGGATACCAGCTCCTTCGGGGAAGCTGGCCTCCCTAGAATCGTAGAATCATATAATAATACAGTTGGAAGAGACCACATGGGCCATCCAGGTCAACCACCTTCTTTCTGCCATTATGCAGGAAAAGCACGATAATAATAATAAAATAAATAAATAAATAAATAAATAAATAAATAATAATTGTTGCAATCCCAGGCAACAGCAGGATTGAAGAGAAACAACTGGAAAAGCTGACATGATAAGAGGATTTAAAGATTGAACTTCAAAGACACTGGCACAAACCAGTAAAGGTGGTCCCAGTAGTGATTGGCACACTGGGTGCAGTGCCTAAAGACCTTGGCCTTAAAAACAATCAACGCTGACAAGATGACTTTCTTCCAGCTGCAAAAGGTCACCCTACTGGGATCTGCATGTATTATTCACCGACACATCACACAGTCCTAGACACTTGGGAAGTGCCCGACGTGTGATCCAATACAACAGCCAACAGAGTGATCTTGTTTGCTGTGGACTCATCTTGTTTTGTTTCTAATAATAATAATAATAATAAGAATAATAATAATAATAATATGCATCTGATAGCAGAATTGATGAGAAGCAACTTAGGATTTAAAGATAGAACCGCAAAGACTCTGGCACAAGCCAGTCAAGGTGGTCCCAGTGGTGATCGGCACACTGGCTGGCACTTAAAAACAATCAGCGCTGGCAAAATTACCATCTGTCAGCTGCAAAAGGCCACTTTACTTGGGTGGTACTAACCTTGTTATATATCAAATAATAATACACGTTATTTATATTCTGCCCTTCTTTCCTAGGGGACTCAGAGTGGATTACAGCATTTACATACATAGGCAAACATTACATGCCTTTACAATCATATACAATACACAAACAAAGGCAGAGGCTTCTCCTTTCATTTCTGGCTTCTGGAGGCAGTGCTCATCCCTGGGTCTGGGAGATGCTTTTCTCTATTTTCAAGTCGGGAATCCTGCGTTGTCACCTCCTGGTTGTATGGTTGTATGGTCGGCAAGATTGCTTGGAGCATCTCTTTGCCTATCAAAGCCCTCCCAATAGATGGCCATCCAGTGTCTCTTTAAAAGCCTCCAAAGAAGGAGCTTCCACTGGAGAGAGTTCCGCTGCTAAACAATGCTTCTTCCTAATGTTCAAGTGGAATCTGTTTTCTTGTTATTTGAACCCATGGCTCCATTGAGTCCTTGTCTCCAGGGCAGCACAAAGGAAGCCTTGCTCCCTCTGCCTATTGTATTACCAATCTTTTTAAAGCATTATGGGACCTGAGAAGTAAAAAAAAATCAATTAAAAAATAAAATATTTAGGACCAGCTTATAAAAAGCTTATAAGATGGTCCTAAATATTTTAATTTTTAATTGATTTTTTTTCGGAATCCTCCTTGTCCATGTTTCTCAGCTGTTTCCCAAGAACTGCAGTTTTCAGCCATCTTTGCAAACATTTTCAGATATTGTTTCTGCTGCTGCTCCTCCTCCTCCTTCCTGATGGACCTCAGGCATCATGGCGCTTGGCCTAGAAGGTCTTCCTCATCCCTCTTCTTCTATCTCCTTCTCTCCTTCCAGGTCTGAGGGTCCTCCGCCACCAGAGCCATGACCTGGACTCTGTCATCCTTGTGAACCCAGACGAGGAGAGCGCTGTGACCGAGGTGAGGTCCAGCATAGATAGGCCTTCGGGGTTGGGCTTCACTCTCTCAGTTTTGCTACTGGCTGCTGCCTTCAGTTGGCATCTAGGTGTTTTAAAAGTGTATTTACCCATTTTGACTAGAGTCTCATTCGTCATTGAATCTAATGCACACCTCCATTTTCAAAACCACTGTTGACTGTTCTGCACCATGGGTTTTATAGTGGACCAGAGTGACTGAAGTAAACATGCACACACACACACACACAATCAAACCTCCTTTCCCACTTTCCATTCACCTCTCCCTCCCAGCTCTATTATTTATTTATTTGTTTGTTTGTTTACGACATTTGTATGCTGCCCTTCTCACCCCAAAGGGGACTCGGAGCGGCTTACAAGATATATATTCATACAATGTATTATATTATTAGCATAGTACAATATCAGTATTAAATATTACTATATTGTACTATCCCATTATATTGTAATGTTATTAGTAATGTTACATGTAATATAAATATATAATTATAATATAATATTATTAGTATTATATTGCATTATGTTATAATATTATAATTATTATATGTATATACAATATATTAAATTATATTATTATTATATTATTAGCATAGCACAAGAAACAAGGTGGAACTGTCCCCTGCCCCCCTCTCTCTTAACTCTGGCCCAGAGCAGCAGTTGGTGCTGAGGGGAGGGGTCCCCAACTGATGACATATGCAGGAGACAAGATGGAACTGTCCCCTGGCCCCCTCGGTCTTCACTCTGGTCCAAAGTGGCAATTGGTGCTGGGGGGAGGGCCCCCCAACTGATGACATATTCAGAAGACAAGATGGAACTGTCCCTTGGCCTCCTCTCTCTTCTCTATCCTTCAATTCGGTGCCTCTCCTGTTTCTCTCTGTCCAAAACAATCCTGTTTTTCCAAAATGATTTTCCTGCATGTCCCCTCTTCCTGCGCTTTCCTTTCCCACCTCTTCCAGGTCATCCTGATCTCTCTTTTGTTCTTTCCCAAATAAGCAAAAGAGCTTTTCTCTCTCCTTTGTTGCAGCAATATGCAAAGTATATACAAACTATGCAAACTTTACAGCTTCCTCGTTACTCACAGCAGCAATTCTCCAACACATTCTCCAAACTACCATCCATCCCTCAACAATCCTCGTCAAAGTTACTCAGTATAATTGCAACCTATATACTACTCCCATTGCATTAACTACCACATCCTAATTAGAGTGGCTTATCTTTTGTACAGGTGGTTAGTCCAGAGGTATTAACTCTGCTATCACTTAGAAAATACCAGGTAATTTCCAAATCTGACAAAAGGTGCTTCTTGTGCCCAAACAGGTCCGTTCCTTGCTATGTGACCCTTCAGCCCACAAGTTGCTGGTGCTGTGCGGACAGAGCTCAGACCAAGAAGGAGATCTGCTCCTCCAGAAGGGGAGTTTCTCCTACCATAGATTTGCTGAAATACTTGCTGATCCAGAGGTGAGCAGCCCTGAGTTGGGAAATCCAGTGAGATGATCTTTGGGACCACCTGCATTTAGAGTGAGGACTAATGTCACTATTAGGACTTTCTAAGCTAAGCTATCCAGCATTTTATGGAAGCTCCTCATGACCCTGCAGGGACATGTTAGAACAGACATGGGCCAACACTTGGCAAACACTTGGAGGGAGGGCCAAAGTGTTTTGGATTTCAACTCCCACAATTTCCAACAGACTACCAGCTGTTAAGAATTGTGGGAGTTGAAATCTAAAACAGCTGGAGCAAGGGCCAAAGTTGGCCCATGCGTGTGTTAGAGGCACAGATTGTTTCTACACTTCTTCTGGTTTGAGATCATGGCTGACTGTTTGTGGTTTCCCTTCCTTTTGCCCTTGCTTCTTGCAGGTAGCCCAGCTCCTCAGCAACAGGGACGCTGCCTCCAAGGCTTCACTCACTGTGTCCTGCTTCGGGGAGGGAGACTGGACCAACCTTGGGTGTCCTCAGTTCCAGAGTCTCCTGAAGCTGAGGCTGAACCCTGACCCAGTCCTGCCAGAGATGGACGGGGTTTCCGAATTCGCTGAGTACGTCTCTGAGACGGTGGACGTCCCATCGCCCTTTGATCTCCTGGAGCCCCCCACCTCTGGGGGCTTCCTCAAGCTCTCCAAGCCCTGCTGCTACATCTTCCCCGGGGGGCGGGGGGACTCAGCCCTTTTTGCCGTCAATGGCTTTAACATCCTGGTGGACGGTGGATCTGAGAAGAGGTCCTGCTTCTGGAAGCTGGTCCGGCACCTGGACCGGATCGACTCGATCCTCCTGACCCACATTGGGGCGGACAACCTTCCAGGGATCAATGGGCTGTTGCAGAGGAAGATTGCGGAGCAGGAGGAGGAGCAGTCACAGGGCTCCACCAACTACAGTGATTGGATGAAGAACCTCATCTCCCCAGAGTTGGGTGTCGTGTTCTTCAATGTCCCTGAGAAACTCCGGATGCCTGAGTCCTCCATGAAGGTCAAGCGGAGCATCGAGGAAGCCAGCTTGGCCCTGCAGCACCTTAACAAGCTGGGCATCAAGCCGGAGCCCCTTTACCGAGTGGTCAGCAACACCATTGAGCCCATCACCTTGTTCCACAAAATGGGTGTTGGGAGACTGGACATGTACGTCTTGAACCCGGTGAAGGAGAGCAAGGAGATGCAGTTCCTCATGCAGAAGTGGGCCGGGAACAGCAAGGCCAGGACGGGCATCATCCTCTCCAATGGAAAAGAGGGGGAGATCTCCGTCCCCTACCTGACCTCCATCACGGCCTTGGTGGTCTGGCTGCCGGCGAGCCCAATGGAGAAGATTGTGCGGGTTCTGTTTCCAGGAAACGCCCCACAGAACAAGATTCTGGAAGGTCTGGAGAGGCTGCGGCACCTGGACTTCCTGAAGTACCCTGTGGCTACACAGAAGGAGGCACTCTCTGGCACGCCATCCCCGGCACTGAAGCAGAGCCGGATCAAGCAGAGGACGGACAGCAAGGAGAGCCTCAAGTCCTCTCCTAAACCGCCGGGCAGCAAAGAGGCCTCAAAGGCTGAGGAGACGAAGGCCGAGGCCGGGAAGGAGGCCAAGGCTGAAAAAAGGGCCAGGGAACTCTCTGAAAAGGCCGCAGAGAAACCCACAAAAACCGAGAAGATCAAAACCGAGTCCAGTGAGGCCCTCAAGGCTGAGAAAAGGAAACTCGCTAAAGACAAAGGCGGGAAGAAGCACCTCAAAGAGAAGGTTTCAAAACTAGAAGAGAAAAGGGACAAAGAGAAGAAGGAGTTAAAGAAAGAAAGGAAGGACCTCAAGAAAGAGGATGGGAGGAAAGAAGAAAGGAAAGAATCCAAGAAAGAGGAAAGAAAGAAGGAAGCCAAGCCAGAGGCGAAAAAAGTGCCCAAGCCTGACCTGAAGCCCTTCACACCAGAAGTGAGGAAAACCTTATACAAGGCCAAAGCTCCTGGACGGGTGAAAGCGGAGAAAGTCCGCAGCAAAGCCGAGAAGGAGAGCCTGGCTGTGGAGCAGAAGGCCTCCCCGGTGCCGAAGAAGCCCAGCCAGCCCTCAGAGCCACCCAGCAGGGATGACCAGAGGCTGGTTCTCTCTTCCCCGGAGGATCTGACCAAGGACTTTGAGGAGCTGAAGGCTGAAGAGAAAGGAAACCCTCCTGAGGCACCTCCTTCTTCCACAGAAGGACAAGGAGACCCCTTTGGCACCGCTGCTGAGCAGCTGCATGGCCTGAGACCCAAAGGAACAGGCAGCCCCGCATCTCCGTCCCCAGCTGTCCTGGAAATGGCAGAGGAAACTGGGAAAGCATTCGAGGCAGAGGCCCCCGAGGAAGGGCAGTTTGGGAAGAAGGTTGGAGAGGCACCAACAGTGCTTCTTGGAAAGGTGGCCAAAGGTGAAAGGGACTGGGCCCTGGCCTCTGGAGACTCCCCATTTGTGGGGTGTCAAGAGGAGGAGAAAGGCACAGCGGAGCCCAATATGAAATGGATGGAGGCCCAAGGGGAGGGGACAACGGGATGGAGAGGCTCCTCAGGACTGGAATCTTCAAGAGAGGCTGGAGGAGAAGACAGAGAGGAGGGGAGAGGTTTGTCCATCATGCAGCCCCCTCTGCCCTCTCAGGATAAAGAGAGACAGCTCAAAGAAGGAAGGGCAGAGCGGGCATCCCTGATGATGAAGGAAGAGGAGGAAGAGGAGGAGGAACCATGCCCAGGTGCCCGGCGAGTCCCACCTGGGGAGCACATCTCCTACATTCAGGATGAGACCATCCCCGGATACTCGGAGACGGAGCAGACCATCTCCGATGAGGAAATCCATGACGAACAGGAGGAGCGGGCGCTGCACCTCAAGGCGGATATCGGCACTGAAGAGGTCACCATTCCCGACCAGCCGTGCTCCTTTGGCATCATGCATGGGAACCAGGCTGCAGCTGTGGCTGAAGAAGGGTCCAAGGTCTACCCCAGCCAAGAGCCCGAGATGCTTACCTACCCTACGAACATTGTGGCAGCTCCCCTGGCAGAAGAAGAGCACGTCTCATCCGCCACTTCCATCACGGAGTGTGACAAGCTTTCCTCATTTGCCACTTCGGTGGCTGAAGACCAGTCGGTGGCTTCCTTGACTGCCCCGCAGACGGAGGAGACTGGCAAAAGCTCCCTGCTAATGGACACGGTCAATAGCATCCCTTCTTCTCGGACGGAGGCCACGCAGGGCCTGGACTACGTGCCCTCCGCTGGCACCATCTCCCCAACCTCCTCGCTGGAGGAGGACAAAGGCTTCAAGTCTCCCCCTCCGGAAGACCTCCATGCACAAGCAGGCAAGAGGGAGCACCAGGCTGGTAAGAAGGACTCACAGCTGGAGGAAGAAGAGGAAGAGGAGGAGACCCCCAATCTGGAAAGGCCGTGGGCAGTCCAAGAACAGCATGATGCTCCTGTGTTCCCTCAGCCAGCAGTACCAGGAGACAGCTTACCGGAAGAAGCGCCCAAAATAGGGACCCCAGAAGCCCTCTTGTTCCTGGAGGGACAGGAAGCCTCACTGCTGCTGCAGACGGAACCCTTCTCTGGGGAGAGCGAGGAGCGCTGCACCAGCCCTGATGACAGCACCGTCAAGATGGCCTCTCCGACCCCCACCAGCGCTGGGCACACACCCTTCCACCAGTCCCCTGTAGAGGAGCAGAAGTCAGAGGCCGTGGAATCCGAGGAGGGCTTTGAGAAGGCAGTGGAGGAGGTTGTGAAGCCAAGTGGGCGGGAGAGCCCTGCAAACCTGGCTGGAGCCCATGAGGATGTGTCTAAAGGACACACTGAGCCTGTCTCCTCCCCCTGCGAAACCTGGCGCCAGACTCTGGAAAGTGAGGAGCTGCCCAGGAGCTTCTACCACTCGCAGGAAACGCTGGAGCTGTGTGACTTGTACCCACCTGCCCCAGAGAGGCTTTCGGGGTCTACAGAGGGGCCCCCCACTGAAAGTGAGAACAAGAGCCAGGGCGGGCTGAAAGGCTTTGGTTCCGAGCTGTTCTCTGCTTCGGACATCCCCCCTCCGAAAGGCTGGGAAGAATCTTCGGACGAAGAGGAAGATGACGCAGCATTGCACCCATCTGCCAAAGAGATTGCACCAGCGGAAGCAAAAGGCCTTCCTACCACTGGAGAGATTTCTGGGAAGACAGACACCTTAGCAGGCGAGCCCACCAAAGAATTACCCCCAGAAAGCAGGGATGTAGCACTTCCACCAGAAGGCTGTTTCAGCCCAGAGAAGTCCGCATCTGTTGTTCCTGGCGAAAAAGCACCTTCGTACTCATTCACGGAGGAGATTGCTGAAACGGACACTCAATCTGGGTTGATCTCTACCGAGAAGGCCCTGCCAGAGGTCCTCGGAGGCAGCTTCTCTCCTGCAACAAGCCTCTCTTCTGCAGAGCAGTCCCCGGCCAGAGACATAGATCCAGGGTCTCATTTCGGAGGGGGCTCACCCTCTCTGCCTTCATCTCCTGAAGACCAGCATGCCACCCTTGTCCAGCCTGGCACAGGGATCTTTCCAGAAGTCACAAAGTCAGTTTCCTCATCTAGAGAAGAGCCTAGCGAAGAGAAGCCACTTCCCAGTCCATCTTCCAGGGAGTTGAGTCCAGGCAAGGAGAGTATGGTGAAGGCCCAGGGCTCTGGGGAGGCAAAGCCTTGTCAGTTTGAGGGAGAGAGGCAAGATCCCACAGCCGGAGAGGGAGAGAAGGGGGAGGATCAGTCCCCAGAAATGGAAGACATTTACCTGCAAGATGCAAACTCTGAGAAAAAAGTGTGGTTTCCAGAGCGGGAGAATGAAGTGCCATGCAAAGAACACCGGCAGAGGTATGACAAAGAAAAGGGGGAATGTACGTTTCTGGATGATGAGATGGAAGGATACGAGAAGCTGCCACTGTCCACCACTCACGCAAGAAGACTTTCTGGAGAAGACACGAATGGCTGCTTGGTAAAGGAGATGTGGGGCACGGAAGAAGGTAAGGAGGCTGCTCCGGAGAGGACAGAAGAGGCGTTTCCTGACCCTGGCTCCCTCCCTGCAGTTGTTGGTGGGGCTCAATGGGAGGAAGAAGAAACCCAGTTGACAGCAGCCCAAGCAGGCAGGAAGCCTTGGTCTCCAGATGGGAAGGAGAAAGAGATACCAGGCTTTGAGGAAGGGCCCTCTCTACAAGACACAAGGGGCTCAGGCTTCGCACCTGAATGGACCGTTACCCTGGAAGGCAAGGAGCAGCCCCTTGGAGCCCCCTCTCCACATGGGTCTCCTTCTCTAGAAGAGGAAGGAGAGGCACCTGCCTGGGCCCCAAGTGGCCCTGGGTTCTCTCCAGGGATTGCGGGGCAGAGGCTGGGGACAGATAGTGCCTTCCACCACAAAGAAGGACTGGTCTCCGAAGAAGAGGAGGGAAAGCCAGCCACCGAAGGGAAAGCCCCTGACAGCCATACTGCTTCATCAGAGGAAGGCCAGGAAGAAAGGGACCGGAGCCTGGGGCCAATGACTCCTGAGGTGGAGGAGAGAGGACCCCACTCGCCAGGCCCAGACCCCAGGACCCCCTTTGTCTCCCTCAGCACCTGGCCCAGCAGTGCCTCCTATGCCCCTGGCCCCTTTGAGCCCCATGAAGAAAAAGAAGCCCAGGGAGGCCTTGGGGAGAAGGGGCCTGAGAAGGAGGAGAGGGAGCCCACACCGTACCCGCATCAGAAGACCTTCCACTACGCTGATGTCTACGGGGGGGACGGCACAGGTCTTTTGGGCCCGGAGCCCCTGGGCAAGGGGAGGGCGCCCCGGTTCCAGGCAGAGTCCCTTTCACCCATCTCATCCAAGGAGGAAGAGTCCTGCCTCTTCACACCGACGGAGAAGGAGCTTTCCTCCCCCACCTCCCCCAAGGACAAGACCCAGCCTGCCTTCGACTACACGGGTGTCCATGACAGATATGGCCCCCAGGCTGAGAAGGAGAGCTCTCTGTCCTGTGGCCAGGCCTCAAGAGAAGAAGAGGGAAAGAGTGATGAGTCTCCCGCTCTGCTGCCTGGCTGCCCAGGGAGCACCCTGAGCATGGATTCTTTGGAAAGCAGGAGCTTCAGTGAGGTCCAAGAGCCCTCAAAGGAGGAGGAGGCATCTCCCTTCAAGACAGAGCATGCCTGGGCTTTGGAGACAGTGGCCGGACAAATGTCGGGGTCACCCACCCACTCCCGCTCCCCCCACCGGGACATCTATTATGAGAAGGCTGGAGGTGAGGAAAGTGCCAGTGACTCCGAGATGGAGAAGGGCGCCCAGGAGCCATCGGAGAAGGCATCCAAGCCCACTCTCCCCCACATTGAAAGGGACCCTCCCTACACAGACATTTCAGAGGCGAAGGCCCCTGGAAGCCCCTTGAGTGCTGTTGGTCAGGCACAGGATGGAGCCCCCTCTGAGGTTGCCCAGAGCAGGGACCCCCTCCAGCCAGGACCTGAGGACCCCCCCAGCAGTCACCCTGCCACCGTCACTGATCCGCCCTGGCTGCCCTCTGCCGTCCTGGAGGCCAAGGAGAAGGAGCCGGCCAAGGGCCCATCTATCCTGGCCAAGGGGCGGGACTCCTCTGCCTCCTCCATTGCCTCTGCTGGCTTTGAGCTTTCCTCCCTGCAGAGCCACCAGCCCTCCATCCTCTTCCGGCATGAGGCCTGCCTCTCCTCTGCCTCTTCTTACCTGTGGGAGAAGTCACTCCCTTCTGGTTTTGGAACCTGTGGTGAAGGCAAGGCTGATGAGTACCTAGAGGTCTCTGGAAAGGCCTGGGAAAGGGCCTCCCAAGAAGGAGGAGGGCAGCTGCTCCATGGGGCACCTTGGGAGCAGGCACTGGCCAGCCCTGCAGGGGAGACTCTTCATGCTGCGGCCTCCCTCCAGCCTGAGTCTGCATCAACAAAGGGGGAATCCTCCCCAGAGCCTGGGGCCCAGGTCATCTCCCCACAGGTCCCGTCAGACTCCCCAGGGGACAGCAGAGAAGCCCTCCCTGCCAGCCCAGACTGGCACAGCAGCATACCCTGGCACCCACCCTCTCCTCCGTGCAGCATGAGCCCCGAAGAGTGGGCAGCTGGCCCCAGCCTCCCAGACGTCCTGCCACCTTCTCCCTGGAGCCAGCAAGAGGCCTTTACATCGGCCAATGGCCCCACTGAGGTGAGCTCCAGCCCCCTGGATTTCCACAGAGTGCCCCAAGAGGAGGAGGAAGAGGCAGGTGAACAGGAAGAGGAGGCAGAGGGAAGGCAAACGCGTCCCTCGTCCCTCATGATGGCAGAAGACCCCGACTTGCAAGCTTTCTTCCCAGAGGCAGCGGCTGCTCGGTGGGGCAGCCAAGTTGAGGACGAGAGCCACACCACCGGCGACCCAGAGCCACGCGTGGTTCCATCCTCGGAGCACGGGCCAACGTTCTCCTCTTGCGAGTATCAGGCCCCAAGGAGGGGGGAGCTTTCCCCGTCCTTCATCAATCCCAGTCCACATGACTCTGATGATGAAGAGGAGGAGGAGGACAGCAAACTCTCACAGGCAGAGGGGCGGCCCTCGGCAATGGGACGGCCGCCGCATTCCCTTCCCGGCGGCCAGAGGCAAGCAACAGCCGCTGCGGGAGAAGAGACCCCTCCCACTTCAGTCAGCGACTCCGGGACGTCCCAGTCAGATTCAGACGTACCCCCAGAAACAGAAGAGTGCCCTTCCATCACGGCCGACGCAGCCATGGACTCCGATGAAGATGCTGACTTCCTCCCCGTGGATAAGGCCATGGGTGGCTCGCACCACAGTGGCTCCAGCGGCAGCACCCGTCTTGGTCATGACCCACAGCCAGCTTCCCTGCCAGACCCCCACCCTCACCCCCCACGCCCCGATGTCTGCATGATGGACCCTGAGGTGCTGCTGAGTGATGCGCTCCTGCATCGCCCTCCAGAGAAGACGCTGTCCCGGAAGGAGCCCAAGAGCCGGGGTGGAAGGAAGCCGGCTTCATCATCAGTGGGCAAGAGCAAGCCCTCCCCATCACCCTCCCCAGCCCGCAGGATGGATAGATGGGCCCCAGATCGCTCACCCAAGCCCACCTGGGTGAAGAGGGAGAAGCCCCCCAAGCTCCATGCCGAGGAGAAGGGGAGCGCCCCATCTGGCACAAAGAACCTCCTCAATGGTGTCAAGAGCAACCTAGGTAAGAGGCAGGCAGCGGAGGGCCCAGGCAGGAGGGGGCTCAGGGCAGCTTTTGCTCTCCAGAATCAAAGCAAGAGGCTCTGGTTGACCCTGGACTGCAGCTCCCAGGAGTCTATTTCTCAGCATGTAGGCCTTAATGAGGGGAACTGGGCATTGTAGTGCAACAACAACAAAAGGCCTGGCAAGTCCCCTCTCTGTGTGTCCAGGGCATCTGAGGAGGGGCTCTGAAAGAACTTGCCCATCGGTCCCAAAAGCTGCAGTCGAAAGAGATAGAGCAGAGGTAGGCCTTGGGCAAGTGTGGGTCCTAGAACAGCATCCTAGAGCTGGAGGAAATTGAGAGAAGGCTTAATAGGGCTCCCATTGTTTTCAGCCCATTGAGTGGCTTTTTGTCCACTTGCTACTCCAAATCCGGCCGGCAGCTGATCTGGCTGTGGCAGTTCTCTTCTTGCATTTCTCTGGTGCAGCTGTGTGCCCGGACGCTGCGGAAGGGAGAACCGCTCCCTCTTGTTTTGTGGTTGGCCCAAGGAGAGGCCCCCTCCTATGCAGAAATAGGAAACCCCTGGCAGCTGGCATCTCTGCGGCATTCAGGCCTGCGGTGGCTTCAGTTTACAGCCCCTTTCCACCCCTCCTTTGTGAGTGCACTAACATTCCTACCCAGTATTCCTGCAGCAGAAGCAATGTCAGGTCTTGTGATAGTTGAAAAATACAGTAGTTTTCCTATTGTTTTGCAGAGAGGATCACTTTCTTCAGTCAGAGTGTTGTGTGATTTCAGGACTGTATGGCAATGTTCTAGCAGGCAAAACATCAGGAGAAAGTGCTGCTAGAACACAGCCATAAGCCCAGAAACCTCACAACACCCCAGTGATTCAGGCTATGAAAGCCTTCAAACCATGCATTGAAAATCTCTACAGGGAGAAATTGTTCCGAGGCACGACATTCTTCAATCCAATATACTTGCACTTGGAGTTTGTATAGCTCTAGGAGAAAAGCACCCCCCGTTCCTAGGTAAATCTGTATGGAAGAAATGCCTTTTGGGCCTAAGTCTGTACGTGGGAGCTTCAGGGCTGACAACAATTGGCGGTTCCACAAAGGCTTGACACCTGTTTCTCTCTCTCCCAGGGCCTGGCAACCCCAAAAGCAGTGGTGGGGTCAGCGGGGGCTCTTCAGTGCCCCCCGTCTACGTGGACCTGGCCTACATCCCCAACCACTGCAGCGCCAAAAACACGGACCAGGAGTTCTTCAAGCGGGTCCGAGCCTCCTACTACGTGGTGAGCGGGAACGATCCAGGCAGCGGGGAACCCAGCCGCGCCGTCCTAGAGGCCCTCTTGGAGGGAAAGGCCCAGTGGGGAGAGAACCTGCCGGTAGGTGCCACCAGCCAACAGGGAGGGAGGGAAGGAAGGAAGGAAGGAGGGCTCTCTTGGCTGCTGCAGGGAGGAGGGCTGCATGCCAGTGACCACCCCATGCTTTCCTTTTCAGGTACTATATTTGCTTGAGTCTAATGCACCACTGAATCTAATACGTACTTCAGTTTCCAAAACCCTGAACCCGGGGGGGGGGGGGGCACATGCTAGCACTCCATGCTAGGACTGGAAGGGGGGAAGGGAAGAGAGAAGAAAGGACGAAAGGGATGAAAAGAAGGATGGAAGGAGAAAAGAGGGAAGGAGGGAAGAAGAGGAAAGAAGAAAAGACAAAAGGGAAGGAAGGATGAAAGGGTGGAAGGAAGAAGGAAGGAAGGAAAAAGAGAGGAGGAGGGAGGAAGAGAAGGATGGAAGGAAGAAGGATGAAGGAAAGAGAAGGAAGGAAGAGGAGAAAGAGGGAGAGAGAGGAAAGAGGCAAGGAAGGAAGAGCGAGGGAAGGGAAGGATGGAAAGGAGGATGGAAGGAAAGAAAAGGGAGGAGGAGAAAAGGGAAAGGAAAGGGAGGAAGGGAAGAGAGGAAGGAAGGATGAAAGAGTGAAAGGGAATGGAGGGAGGGAGAAGGGAGGGGAGGGAAAAAGAGGAAGGAAGAAAGACAAAAGGAAGGAAGGAAGGAAGGAAAAAGGAGAAGGAAGGAAGAAGGAAGGGAAGAGAGAAGAAGGAGGAAAAGTGAAAGGGAATGGAGGGAGGAGGAGGGAGGGAGAAAGAGGGAAGGAAGAAAAGACAAAAGGAAGGAAGGAAGGAGAAAAGGGTGGAAGGGAAGAAAGGAGGGAGGGTGAAAGAGGTAAGGAAGGAAGGAGGAAATAGGGAAAGGACAAAAGGGAGGGAAGGAGGAAGTAAAGAGAGAAGGAAGGATAGGATGGTGAGAGAGAAGAGGTTCTGAGAAAAGAGACCAACGGATTGCATCCAGTCCCTGGACCTGGGTTTGCCCATACCTGATCTATGGTGTAACAAATCCACATTAATTGCCTTGGTTCAATGCTATGGAATCATGATCACAGGGAATGTAGTTTGACAAGGCCTTGAGCCTTCTCTGCCAAAAAGATGTGGATTCTGCATCAAAGTACAAAGCCCAGAATCACATAGAGCCGTGGAAATTAAATTAGAGGTGACATCCCTCAAAGAGGAGCTCCAGGTACAGCTCCTGAAGCAGCTTTCCCTTTGGCTTTGGTTCAGTACTAAGGTTACTGTATGCGTATCCAAAGTATGGAGAGGTCATTTAGCTAAAAAAAAAAAAAAAAGGTGAGCATTAGATTTGAGTCAATACAACTAGAAAAATGTTAAGCCATATGCAAATTAGATTCCCAGACTTGAGGAAGCGGGATCCTYAGTGCATTAGACCTKCATTCCCTTGTGTGGCAGCAAGTAAGTGGAGCTGCTGCTTTTCCCTGGAGCCAGATTTTTTTTTGGGGGGGGGGGGGTCAGAATGGGGGCCCTCCCAGCCACCAACTCACTTGGCCTTCTTTCCTGGCCTCCCTCCCTGGCCTCCCTCCTTCAGGTGACCCTGATCCCAACGCATGACACAGAGGTGACCCGGGAGTGGTACCAGCAGACCCACGAGAAGCAGCAGGAGCTGAGCATCATGGTGCTGGCCAGCAGCAGCACGGTGGTGATGCAGGATGAGTCCTTCCCGGCCTGCAAGATTGAGTTCTGAGGCCCTGCTCCAGCCGGCCGGGATCTCCCCTTCCTGCCTTCCTTCGTCCTTCCTTTGCCTCGGAGCACGGCCCGGTGCCCATCATCCCTTGCGCATACGGGGCCCCGGCTTAGGGGGCTGCGGTGCAGAGGGACCCCTCGAGCTCATTTTGCTTTCTAGGGATTATTTTGCTGCTGCTGCCTCTGCTGCCACTGCCACCACCACCGCTGCCGTTGAATGATTTGGTTGCCATGGTTCCGCTTGCGTGTGCCCTCCTTCCCGTCCTTCCCTCCCTCCATCCCAAAACTGTCTGGTAGCAGCTCTAGGGATGGAATTAACAGCAGGACCAAGAGCAGGTAGGTCTGCAAAAGACAGAGGAACTGTCTGCGCCCCTCCAAAAAACCATGCAAAGGGGCTGAGTGCTGCCAACCCCCTGCAAAGGCAAGTCCCCAGAACACAATGGTGGCACCTCTGGCTGCTTTGGGTGGGCTTGACCAGAGGGGCTTGGCCATGGCAAGCCAAAGGAGGGGCTGTCTGGGGTCTTTGGGGGACAGGAATCAGAGAGTCCAAACATTTGCAAAAGGAGCAGGTGGAGTGGGTGCTGCAAAGGTTTGCCTGCTTAGAGCCTGTGCAGAGGCCCACCGCCTTCTTCCTTCGCCAAGTGCTGCTTTTGTGTGCATGCATGAGAGAGGAACGCCGTAGGAATTTTAATTGTTTTTTTCTGGTTGTTACATAATTTATTTATATATTTATTTATTTAGTTCTCCTTTGTATGTAGACCACACCACCTGCGGTTGGTTGGTGGTCCGTATGCGTGTGTGTGTATATATATGTATATGCGCTTTGGACCATTCTGACTGTAGCTGACCCTGCTCAAGAGGGCCTGCCCAAGGATTACAGGGAAAGCACCRCACTCCACCCCAGACACACGCAGTTGGCTGGRTCCTGGCCCTCCACCATGGGGAAAAAAAGGCCCAGAGCCCCAACCAGCACAAGGGTGCGCATGCATGCGCACCGCCCACCTATGAATGTCTCTGTCCTAAAACTTGAAGCGGGGGGTGGCGGATGGGGGGCCAAAACGCACAGTTCTGCCCTGGCAAAAGCATGGGGGTTTTTCCTCCCCCCGCCCCCCTCCTTCCCGCCATCTTGTTTCCTGGCGTTCCCCCCCCCCTCTTCCTTCATGGCCAGAGCACCTTTCCAACATTTTTGTACCTTACAAGCAGCCTCCGGTGGTGCTGCTGCTGCTGCCCTTTGGGGCGTCTTACGGCAAGCCTTGTAAAAACCCCTCTTTCTAAATGCGCTCAGCCACATCCACCCAGCAGGCAGAGGGTTAAAATAGGTCTGGAGTGAAGAGAYGTTGAAATCTGCTTCTGCTGGTCCCTTCCTTCCTTCCCGCATGCGCCCCCCAACTCCATGTACATAATTCCCATTTGGAGAGAGACGTCGGCAAAGACCCCCCTCGGCCGGTCGCTGTCATGCTCTTGTGGTCCCCAAATGGCACCTGCTCTTCTTGGCTGAATGTTGTACAAAATAGAGCAACCCTTTCCATGTTATGTACAATTTCCCTCCCTCTTTCTTCCTTCCTGCCCTTCTTCCTCCCTGCCCTCCTTTCTGTGTGCAATGCTCTGTAACTGATGATTGTAAAGGGAGAGGCTGCACTCGCCAATAAAGCCACACAAACTGCGAACGGTGTGGGGTGACTCTTCTCTGCTTGCTGCTCCATGGATCTTGGGGAGGGGGGAGGGTTGTGAATCCACAACAACTGGGCAAACGTAGATCGCAAACATGTGCTGCCAGACATAGGACACTGCAAAGACACTCCTGCACAGAACAGCAGTCTCTTTCTGCCTCCACAATGTCGCAACGGGTCATTCACAAGGGGCCCTCAAAGCCAAGAGCCATTCTTCTTTGGGGAAACATGGACTGGGCTCTCCCTCTTCATACTGCAACATCTCCCTCCCCAAGGAATGCTTCCTCCCACCCCCTGCTCTTGTGCCCCGAACTCAAACCCACAGGAGCAACGGCACAGCAGCCCTGTAGAGTCTCAGCATTTTACTGCAGAAGAGGTAAAGGGATTCCACAATTCATAAGGAAGGACAGACACATACGGACGGACAGACAGAGGCATCTCCAGGCGCATCCCTGTCCCGAACGACGGAGGAGCCCCTGCTCCCCCCGTCTCTCTGAGAACATCAACAATATATTAAATATTTGCTCTGTACTGTACACCATTTGGCATCACGCGTGTCTTCCCCGTTTCGGAGAAAGCCTGGCTCTTCAAAGCAGGCCCTTGTCAGCAGAGCCCTCTGCCTCCCAGCCAGGAAGCCCCCTCCCATATCCCATGCCCTTTGGGGGGAGCCCACCCCATATCTGTCACTCGGAGTGTCACTTCAGGGCCCCTTCCGAGAAGAGGAGTGGTGGTGGTGGTGATGGGGGTCACTTTGGAAATCAAGGGCCAGAAGCAGCAAAAGCAGATGCCACCTGAGATCTCTGGGGCCACCTCTCCCCACACTTTGTGACGTCTGGCCGGAAGCCCTTGTGGGGGGCCTGGGGTGGGGCAAAGCCTGGGACGAGGCTGGCAGGGCGGAGGCTGCCATCTTGGCCATTCCACTGCCCTATCGACCGTGGCATCCTAAGGACCATCCCTGATGGGGGTCAGGAGAGGGCTGTGTTCAGTCTCCCTCGCAGAGCCTCCCTGCTCTTCCGACTCTGCCCTGGTGCCATCAACCCACAAATCTGCCTCCTGCCCCTGGTTCGGCTTCAGGTCACCCTCCTCTTCACTTGCCCCAAGGTCCCTCTGCTCTGGCGGGGAAGAAGTAGGAGGGGGGCCCTCTCCGTCGCAGGGCTCAGCCCCAGGCGGTGCTCCCAGCCCTTCCTCCGTCTCAGCCTTGCTGACCGGCGGTGGCAGGACTGGCTCTTCCTGATTGCAGGGTCGTTCCGTGGGCGCCGGGGCACCATTGAGGAGAGCCTTCTCTGGGAAGCCGAAGCAGCCCCCGCCACCACGAGGACCGCCACTCTCCAGGGAGGTGGGTGAGGAGGGGCCGGCGCTGGAGACTGCGCTGGAAGGGCCGCTACTGGCTGCATAGGGAAAGAAAGGAGGGTCAGGGGATGGCAAACAAAGGATAATGAGACAACACCATAGGACCCTGGATGGAAGTTGATGTAGATCCATCTTAATAGGACGACTGACCACTGTAGTTTTATATATAGTGTTTTTAAAGTTGTTTTTGTAATTGTGATATATGATATTTTAATGAGTGTATGTTTTTTATGGCTGGAAACCGGGCTGAGTCCCTCAATGAGGTTGAGAAGCTCGGTATAGAAAACTGTGAAATAAATAAATAAATAAACTGCACAACAGAAATGACTTGTATAGTTACTTCTAACAGTCCATATTATATGAGCATAAGATTGTATCTGCCCCCCCCCCCCCGGTGGCGCAGCAAGTTAAACTGCTGAGCTGCTGAACTTGCTGACCGAAAGGTTGGTGGTTCGAATCTGGGGAGCAGGATGAACTCCCGCTGTTAACCCCAGCTTCTGCCAACCTAGCAGTTCGAAAACATGCAAATGTGAATAGATCAATAGGTACAGCTTCTGCGGGAAAGTAATTGTGCTCCATACAATTATGCTGGCCACATGACCTTGGAAGGGTCTACGGACAACGCCAGCTCCGGCTTAGAAATGATCAGCACCATCCCCCAGTCGGACACGACTAGAATTAATGTCAATAATCTTTACTTAAGATTATATTGACCAATACTGCTCTTATGGTCAGTGTCCATTATGGATATATATTTTCCTATTTTCACAGTGTGGGCCAAGTGGCAACAGGGCAGAAGCCAAAGGCCCCCAGCTGGGTTTGCTTCAGCCCCTTCAACCAGAGCGAGGCCTCCTTCCCCTTCCGGGCACAGCTTCACTGCCAATCCTTCCCTGCCCCAAAAACACACACTTTGCATGCCACTCACACCAGGGGGGCTTCTCGGAGGGGGGCATTCGCAGGGGCAGAGAGGGTAGGACGTTCTGCTGCAGGGAGTCACCACCATCACCTCCACCTCCGCTGTTGCCTCCACCGTCGGGCACCTGCTTCTTTGCCAGCGGGTCAAAGTGAGCTGCAGGAAACAAGGGGAAAGGCTCTTTATTGGCTCTTGGGGGGTAGTATGTGCACTGCGAGGAGGACATTGCTGCCCTCACTCCCACATCCTGCACACACACACGCCTTTGTACCTGCAGGGGCTCCTTGCTGTTGTCCGGTGCTGCAGCTCCAGAGGAGAGCGGTGAGGAAGTTGTTCACCTGGCGCAGGGAGAGCGAGTTGTGCAGGGTCTCCAGCGGGTAGATGCTGGGCACCAGGGAGCAGCCCTCGAAGCCTGCCAGGAAAGAGCAGCCCCCTCCCCAATGAGTCCCTTGTCAGAAATATTAAAAATCAACTGGGTATTATTGATTACAAAAGTGTGAGTCAAGCACTGAAAGATTTAGTAGGCCAAAGCCTGTCAGTGGGCCAAAGTTAGTGTCTTCCTGAGGAGAGTGAGTAGGCTAAAGCCTGTCAGAGTCAGAGGGTCAAAGTTAGTGTCTTCCTGAGGAGAGTGAGTAGGCTAAAGCCTGTCAGAGTCAGTGGGTCAAAGTTAGTGTCTTCCTGAGGAGAGTGAGTAGGCCGAAGCCTGTCAGAGTCAGTGGGRCAAAGTTAGTGTCTTCCTGAGGAGAGTGAGTAGGCCGAAGCCTGTCAGATTCAGTGGGCCAAAGTTAAGTGTCTTCCTCAGGAGAGTGAGTAGGCTGAAGCCTGTCAGAGTCAGTGGGTCAAAYTTAAGTGTCTTCCTGAGGAGAGTGAGTAGGCTGAAGCCTGTCAGATTCAGTGGGTCAAAGTTAGTGTCATCCTGAGGAGAGTGAGTAGGCCGAAGCCTGTCAGAGTCAGTGGGCCAGTTAGTGTCATCCTGAGGAGAGTGAGTAGGCCGAAGCCTGTCAGAGTCAGTGGGCCAAAGTTAGTGTCWTCCTGAGGAGAGTGAGTAGGCTGAAGCCTGTCAGAGTCAGTGGGCCAAAGTTAGTGTCTTCCTGAGGAGAGWGAGTAGGCTGAAGCCTGTCAGATTCAGTGGGCCAAAGTTAAGTGTCTTCCTGAGGAGAGTGAGTAGGCTGAAGCCTGTCAGATTCAGTGGGTCAAAGTTAGTGTCTTCCTGAGGAGAGTGAGTAGYCTGAAGCCTGTCAGAGTCAGTGGGCCAAAGTTAGTGTCATCCTGAGGAGAGTGAGTAGGCCGAAGCCTGTCAGAGTCGGTGGGTCAAAGTTAGGGACTTCCTGAGGAGAGTGAGTAGGCCGAAGCCTGTCAGAGTCACTGGGCCAAAGTTAGTGTCTTCCTGAGGAGAGTGAGTAGGCCGAAGCCTGTCAGAGTCAGTGGGTCAAAGTTAGTGTCTTCCTGAGGAGAGTAAGCCGAAGCCTGTTAAGAGTCCGTGGGTCAAACTTAGGGTCTTCCTTAGGAGAGTGAGTAGGCCGAAGCCTGTTAGAGTTACTGGGCCAAAGTTAGCATCGTCCTGAGGAGTGTGAGGTAAACCTCTGTGTGAGAGAAGCCTCGCATGAGAAAACTCCAGTGTGAAAGCTGCGGTGAGTAAAACTACTATGTATTAGTTTATTTGTGTAATGGAAACATTATTTTTGTAAATAGTGTAACCGTATTATTATACTACAAAGAAAAGCCTCCTATGGAAGAGATAACATTGGTCTGTGTGTTTTAGTTCTTTTTATCACTTTGGACTACTGGTGCTGGGTCATGTTCCTGCTGATAAGTTACTCTGCTTTACATTTATGGGGAGGGTCTTTTGTTATTAAGCCCACGCACTCAACGTCCCTTCTAATGGGTCTCTTTGCCAAGTGGTCCACAGCCCCCCCCCCCCACAGAAGCCATGCAGAAGCACCCGCCAAACAGATTGGTAGTCCCTTCTGGCTCCAAGCATAAGGACCCCAAGGTTCCCCATTTCTGTGCACCGTTTGTGCCCCTGTCCCTTTGCACATGACGCATCTTCTTGTAGGCATTCCTTCAAAGGCAGATGCTATGGCCCTGTTGGTGGAAGTGCGTATTTGGATGACAACTGCCCAAATCCATGGCTTCAGAGGCACCCTGTTCCGCTCCAGCCGGAGAGATGTCCGAATTCTTCACATGCTCCAGAATCACGACATCCCCTCCCCCCCCACACACACACACATGTATTCACACCCCCTTCATACTTTTGTCTCGTTGGAACCAAGTCAGCCAGCCATTATGCTGCAGGCGAAAAGGACAAGCACTAATCGGTTACGGAGCAAGCAAGCAGCCAGCAGGGAGGCATTTGTTCCAGTTGGCAATGATGGTAAAACACAAGTTAGCTGCTTTTGGGTCCCACACAGGAGAAAAGGGGCATAAAGGATTAAATAAACACAAAAAAATGGGGAGGAGATCCCTGGTAGATGAAGGAGGCACAGGCAGGAATCCATGGCAGGGAGGGATGGAGACACAGCAAGGGATGGGAAGGAGGGGAAAGGGGCGAGGACTCAAATTAAGAAGCAAACGTACCATTAGTTGGATGCTTTGCAAATGACACAGAAAACCGCTTTACAGCTGGCATAGACAAGAGCTCTGGGGAGACAAGAAGAGGGGCCTGCTTCAGAGGGGTCCTACCTGACCCCTACCCCCATTGCCCCCCATTACCCCCATTCCTGGCAGTGAAAGC